CACTGCGGTTGGGAGCGGCTGTTCGGAACAGTGACCACAGTTCGCTAACTTCTGCGGTGGGATGAGGAAAGTACTCCCCCATTTTTATTTTTTAGTTTTGAAGCCTGTTCCTCTTTGAAGCACATTCTACTCACATTTCAGAATATCGACGAGGCCGGAGAAAATTAGGTCGGACAGCACTTTTAGGGATTTTGGAAAAATTACCAGGTCGGAGAAAAGTAGGGCGGACAATGTAAATACACACGGCCCCCCTACTCCCTCCTTAACTCTCTCCCTCTCTCTTATCAGCTTGATATCGCGGACCCCCCTTGCTTTCACAAAAACAAAACACACACACAGAGAAAAAATATCGCGGCGCATGAGAGGCGCTCGCCGTGGCGGAGCGGGGAAGTAGTTAGGGAGTACAGTGCTGGCACTGTCAGAGGCTGTTGTCTGTGACGCGGCGCGGGGTGGAGCTGGGGGAGGGGGAGGGAGGGGGTGCGAGCACAATAGCGGCCCACGACACAAAAGAAGACTTAGCCGCCTAGAAACGCCGGCGCCGCCGTGGCGCGCCTTGTACCACGAGCAGCACCACGACGACGACGCACCGCCGCGACCGCCTGCCTCTCCTCCCTCTGCAGCAGCACAGGGGCTGTGATTACAAACTGTTGATTAGCCGTCGCCCCGCGAGCAGCGCCGACCACAGGACCCGGACAATGCGCGGGCTGGCCAGTGTGTCCACCTGGCTGACCAGCGGGCGGCGGGGGCAGGGCCACAGTGATGGGAAGTGAGGGAGGAAAAGGATTGTCTGCCTCTATCTCTCTCTGTCTCTCTCTCTCAATTGTAACGCGCGGCCGACACCAAACCGGATCTTTATCAAGCCACTCCAGCCTAATTACGAACCGAACCGTGGGATGAGGGTTAAACGTGTAATGGAGCACTGCGGAACGTTAACACGGCACTCTCTCGAAATCGACATTCTCCTGGGTACGTCTCTGCCTTTAGTGCTACAGTACTCAACCTGTTGGGAAAATTTAGTATCGAGATGGCTTTTACACAATAATCATGGCAACAAGTTCATCCCAATTTGCGACCAGCTCTTTGTTTTCCGCTGTTCCCCCTCCCCCCTCGCCCGCAGCTGCTTTGGTATATCGCGAGTGGCCCTGCCTGTGGTCGGATCTCCCCCGACGACAACACAACACCGTCTGCGCGGCGCGTCTCCTCCGCCGCCGCACCTGCGCCACCGTGCGCCGCACACACGCCCGGAGGCATCCCTAATTACAGGGGGTCGGGCGAGGCCCCATTGTGAACCCCCCGGCCTTGTCGCGCCTAGTTTGCCAATTCTGCCTGCAATTTAACCCAATTTCCCCGCGGCGCAGGACGCGGAACCGTATTGCAGGGCGGCTGCTCCATCGCCGACCGCAGCTGCTGCACCTGCCGGCTCGGCCGGGGTGCTACGCGCGATACGCAAAATAGCACTATCCGCGTGCATCTTGCCGAACAAATCTCAGAGAATGTCATCTTGGAACAGCTGATGCTATATTTAGTCTGGTGTGGTGTCGGAGCCAGTCTAGTTTAGAGAGGTGAACCTGCTTATATCCACTTCATCATTGAGTTCTGAGCGGTATAGCGGATTTCACGACGCGTGACGCGTGAGTCACGCGGCGTGACGCTACCCTTCCCTCACTTGTCTTGTGCTTTGGTCTGCTTTGGTTGGTCGATGATCCACCCTGTTGAAAAAACCATGGAGTCAAGCCACTAACGTAGGGAGACGCAAGGTTCGGCCGGGCGCCACCAGCCCCGGGAGGATCGCTCCACCGCCTTCGCGGCAGGTGGTGGAACGGTCCGGAGTCCTACCTTCCTCCTCCTTTCTTTTCTATTAGGTGTTGGCAACTGTGGCAAATCATTCTGCGTTAAGAGTTAACAAAATATTACCATTAAAAGAAGCATAAGTACTATTTAGAAATATTGGCCATTATGCAAATACCCTTTTAGGACCGTTTTTGATGAAAAGTCGTGTGGCGAAAGAGTGGCAGATTTTGAATGGTTGGGCCTAATTAGGCACATTTCGCCTACTTTATGGACCCAAAGACTGCTCACTTTATCAATGACGACAAAACTCACAGCTCCCAACGATTTTTGAGCATGACACTCCCCAAAAATATAAAAAGTTGACACTGTGTACCGAACAATGACACACGGTGTCAGAGGTTAGGTTAGACCATTCTTTGCTGAAACCAGTTAAAAAAGCATATGGATCCAATTTAATGATTCAGAAAATGTTGTCGCTATATCTCTCTTTAACTGGGCCCTGCGATCTAACATTTTATTTCGACCTTTTCAACATTTTCCCCGGGCCCGCATTTGGAATCTCGCGCGGTTCGCCACTCAGTGGGCCTTGTGACGTCAGAGCATCTCTATGATGCTTGCGTTTAGTTAGACGGGTGTAGGGGGTGCTAGGGGGTCCTGAGCTGTCGAGAACGTTTTTTCCCCTTACACTTTGCATGGGTTTCTAAGGCGGTGAGTCTCAGGACCCCCTAGCACCCCCTAGCACCCCTCTAACTAAACGCAAGCGATATGATGTTGTGACCGGCTGCTAGAACGCCTAGAATTTGCATTTTACTTAGAGTTTGTTAAATTCGCGATGGAGTCAAGCATTTCAACCGTGTTCAAGTGCTCACAGTGCGGGAAAGCTTACAAACAGGAGACGTGGTATAAGAAACATATCTTGTCTCACAATGGTGAGTTCATGTGTATGGGGGTTAACGTACTGTAAACTTTTGGTATACATTTTTATTTAGTTCATTGTTTTCCAGGTACACCGCAGGATCAAGGTACCAAATCTGACTCCATGAAAAAACAAAGACCTGAAGAAAATCTGAACAAAACAATGGATGTAGTTGATGTAGTTGATGTAAGCATCCCATTTTTTTAAATTTCGTCTCCTGGAGGAAAGGAAAAGCTGCAATATTTATTTACTAATTCTTTCTACGCAGGTTGCTGTAGAAAAGGCCCTTTTAAAGCAGCTCAAGAAGGTCAATATCACTGAAGTGTATGGTCGCACAGTGTCTAAAAGGAGGACTAAATTTTCACTGTCCTATGACATTCCACCTCCCAACTACCTTTCTGGAAGGAAGGGAACAGCAGCTCAGAGGGAGCACTTTGCAGCTTTCCTGAATCAAATAACCTTCAAAACTATGGGTATGAATTTCAGGGTGAAATTTATTCGTCAGTTAACAACATTCGGTACAGATGAAAACACGCATAAGTGTTCAAAAGACATATTTTATCTTGTGAGCATCACAAGTGTTTGATTACTGTTCTAAGTTAATTGCAACCAATCTACTCTACACTGTTATCTGTGCATTTGATCTGGTCATTTATCCAGTTTTTTCTAGGAAAATGTTATTTGTGACTTTTTTATTCTCAGCAGTTTAATTTCAGACATCATTTACTGTCTTTTTTTGTGTGTTTAGTTCTACTTAAAGAATTACCTCATATTAAAAAAATCAAAATTTTATACTTGTATTATTTTTAAAAATGTTTCTTACTCCTTTTTATGCTGGCAAGGATGATCAGCAGTCAGAAAATAAAAGATCTTTAAGAAAGTGATTTAAACTCGCATTAGAAATTAGACTTATAAAACCGTTTATTGGCTGATAATACAAAAGCATCTGATAACCAAGAGCTAATACAAAATATAGAAATTTTAAATGCAGAAACAAGTTAATGTTCCTACAAACAGTTCGACTAAATGCGATAAGAATCAAAGGAGACTCCTCCATCCCGTACAGTGACAATGCGAGTGAATGAGGCTCATTAAATTGATGGCTGTAATAGCATAAAAACTGGTTTTATTGACAAAAACTTGGAAAGAATAAAATAAAATAGCATAATATGGAATATGCTGCATAGTCGAGGGGAATACCCCGAAAACGCCCAATTTCATACAAGGACCGGCTAACCGCTTGTTGCTTCAGATTTTCAGTCAAATTTTACCTGAATTAAAATGAAAACAGTAATTTTGCTGACATTGAACGAAGTACCTATCGTTTACTTGGTATAATACTGCCTCGAAATGCCGCGCGATGGCTCACCAAGTCTCTACTTGTACACCGCAGCACCGTATTCGCAGTTAGGTGTCGCGCGTCGTGAAATCCGCCATACCGCTCAGAACTCAATGATGAAGTGGATATAAGCGGTGAACCTAGGATAAATTTACAGCAGGTCTATTACGTTCTCTTTTCGCCGTGGCGCACGAGCCCCGTTCAGACGGTCTAGACAGGTCGTCTTTCAGCCGTTTCCGGCGTTGCCGCTTTTCCGCTCGCGCTACAAATATCAGAGAAATTACTGACATAAACCCAGTCAGACGTTCCAGAAGACGCGCCAAACTAATTACGTGCAACTGGAAACTAGAAACACCATAGACATCAGAACAGCGATGATTCCAATACAATTGGAAATTAGTCAGAAGTCTGACAACAGTGGAAACTGCGGAACGGAACGCCGTCTAGACCGTCTAAACGGGGCTTCATTCTGAATGAGGAAAGAGAACGTAATAGACCTGCAGGAAATATAGACGGAAGAGTGGTAAGAGGGAATGCCAATCTGTTTCAAGTTTCACAATCACCCCGCTGCTGCTCGCTAGAGCGCGCCACCGGGCTCTCAACGTCAGTTTTCCCTCGCCCTCGACATGGCGCCGGCTAATCTTACCGGTTTATTGGCAAAGTTTATCTTAATTTTCCGTGTGGAATATTTTGGTGTCATCGGGTGCTGTTCCCAAATAAGGATCTTCCCAAATTGGTCCTTCATTATCAATGGAAAACTGGCATGTTTTCCGACACCCAGTGGCTTAAACTTCTCCTGAAAATAGCCGTGTTAGGGGTTAGGAGGAACCAGGAGGAACTCTGTGCTATGGGCTTTATCAGCTTAAGTATCTTAACATCTTAACATCTTAACATCTTAACATCTTAACAGATGCATTTTCATTATATTTAGCACTATGGCAATGATTTTTAGTTATGAATGTGTTTAAATTGGTAAAAAGTGCCGACCGGAACATTTAGAAAGCTTTGCCATCGCTTCAGTTCGATGAAAAGCAGAGATCCGTGGTTTCGCGGGACCTTAACACAACTTTCAAGGAAACCACGAATCATGATTCTATTGGTCGTTGTAGCGATCCCGAACGTTTTGGTCGGCATTTTAGCGAATATAAAGACATTCAAATGTAAAACCATAGTCTTACTATCGAATATAATGCAAAATGCACTTGTTAATATGTTAACATGTTAAGATGTTAAGATCCTTAAGCTGATAAAGCCATGGATTCACTCTGGATTACGTCTGCATTACTGATCAAGTAAGTTGTTTCCGGTTGTCTAAGGCATCTGGAACCTAGGTATACATACAACACTATGGAACACTGCTCTTATTATTAAAATTGTGCCTGGCAATTTGCACATCGAAGTTAGCTGTCTGAAAGTTGTGAGCGGTACAAGCAGCATAACCACTTTGAGTAGACCTGAGACTAATTCAATATCTTTTTGTATGGATGGAGTTCTAACGGGGAAATTAGTGACCCGCTCAATTTTAATGGTCAATAGGTACTCGTTCCAATGTCACTCAATAATGAGATCAAATTCTTATTTGCTCCGTTGCAGCTGAGCAAATAGTTGTTCCCTCACTTGTTGGTGTGCAAATGGTTATTTGGTCCCCTGCAAGTGAGCGAATGTTTTTGGTTAAACATGAGCCAAAGGGGTAGACCAGAGAACCATTATAATTTCAAACTTCCACTGAAAATCAGCATTACCTCTGAAATGAGTTTAATATTTTATGATGACATAATTGCTTATCAATTTGAAACGGCTCCAAGGTACTGTGCTGTTCAGCTGATTTCTTTGCGCTTCTGCTGTCTTTTTAATTTGTGAAGCTTATGTAAGTTGCGGATTTTCATCTGACCAGGAAGTTCATCTCATAGTAAAAATTCATGTTGAATGTCAGCATAGTGTTGTGGTTTGTATACCGATATTGACTGTTTGAAGCTGGTTATTTTAAAAACCAGACACGCGCCAAGAGAAGAAATCACGTAAAACAGGCCATCAAAAGTGGTGCGATATTAGGCTTGGGGGGGGGGGGGGGGCGGTGACAAGTGGCGCGCCAAGTGACGGCAGTGTAGCGTCGCGCGCTCCCGGGGCTGTCAGTCATCCTCGCACTCCCTGCTTTTATCTGTTCCTCCGAGCGCGGCCGCATACGCGGCGCGACGCCGCCGTCATACGCGCCGCCCCCGCCCCGTCGCCCGTCGTGGACGGCCGTCACCCTGCGCGGCGTATGCTGCAGGCTCTGTTCTCGGCGTCCTTTCTCCTCTTGCCTCCCCCCCCTACCCCTGCCTCCCCCCACGATCACGCCCTCACTTTACGCCCCCGTAGACTCCCTCCTTCCCGCCGTCCTCCTCCCCCCAACCCCCTCCGTCGCCTCCTCCTTTCTCTCCTCACTCCGTGTAGTCAAAAGGAGTCGAGGCGGAAAATTTCAATTCCGTCCACATTGCCGCGAGCAGCGGCGGGTCCCTGGCGCCGCCACAATTCTCCTCCAGCGGCGCCGCCTCCGGGCCGCCGCGTCCCGCGCGCTGCAGTTTTGCATAGCGGGAGGCGAGAAGGGAAAAATGAAATTCCGGTCGACGGCTGCTCGTCCTTTTGAAATACGCGCTTATCTTCCTGATTTCCGCTCATCCCCGCAGGTGTTTTGGCTCCGCCGCCGCCTCCGTCGCCGCCGCCTCCGTCGCCGCCGCCTCCGTCGCCGCCGCCTCCGTCGGCCTCGCTTTCAGCCGCGCCGCCCCCGCCGCCCCCGTCCGCCGTTCGATGATGAACAATTATCGAGCCGGCGGGGCGCCCATTGTATCGCCGTGACAAAACACGGATCCAAGGGCGGCCTGCGAGCCTCCACCAAACTAGCACAAAGCGCCATGGGCCGCGGGCCGGGCGTGTCCTGACCCAGGAGGCCCCGGGGCGCCCATGGACGCGGAGGACGGAGACTTCCCCTCGCACAACCCGTTCGGAAAATAAAGAGCGGGGAAAAAATTGAAAGCGATCCTGAGTACCCTGCAACCTAGTTCTTTTATGTAGATTCCCTCAGCCGTGGCTCCGCGTCCTCGAGTCAAGAGTCCTTCTCCGCGCAGCTCCCCCTGGCTTCCTCGCAAAACTCTTGGCCGTAACCACCGCCCCCTTCCCCCCCTTTTCACTCCGCGGCAGTTTCCGTCTTTACTTGGCAGTCGTGGGCTGGAGGAACAGACTGGCGGGTCGGGAGGAGAACAAAGAGGTCACGTCGAAAATAAGGGCCCGAAATTGAGGGTATAAGGAAGGAGGCTGGGTCCCCGGTCGTGGCGCGTGTTCGCGCAAGTTCGCGGCAGTGTGACCAACCCCACGCGGCTCAAATGGACCGTCACCCTCCACCGCGAGCGCCACCGCCGTGGATGACAACAGGTGTTCATGCCCGTGGGGTTGGCAGCAGCGGAGCGGCAGGAGGGTCTTTGCCTTCGCGATTCTCCCCTTCACTTCACTCCCGCCCCGCCGCTCTGCCTCTCTCGCTAACCCCTTGGGGCAGGAGGGAGGACGGGGAGGAGGGGCGCCTGTGAAATGCGGCCTGTCCCCCATTGTTTAGTCGTATGGCGCGGCGCGCTGCCACTCGACAGACAGTTGGACAAGTTCTGCGCGCTCCCTCCCGCTCCCTCCGCACCTGTACAGTGTCGCTGCCTGCCCGCCGCGCACATTGCAGCCCGTAATTCAGTTATCCTCCGTGTGTGTCTCCCCCTCCCCACCCCCCTCACAAAATAATGTAGAGACATTCTCGAGTGTCGCGGGGCGGGATATGTAATTAACACGCACAGGCGCGTGGGACCATTACGCAATTGTTTGCGAGAGTCGATGGGGGGAAATAGGAAGAGAAGGGAGGGGAAAGGGGGGGAGGGGAGAGGGGAAAGGGGCTTGTTCAGGATCGAAAAGAGAGCCTTCTCTTTATCTTCTCCAAGGATGAGCTGGAAAGACGAGCTGGAAGGGCATAGAGCCGTGCGCTCCGCTGGAGGCAAGCAAGGGCGGCGGCCGACAAACAAACCGAAACGCCGTGGAGAGAAGGAGCTGGGCGGACCATGGGTGTTTAACTTGCAGTTAGTTCCAGGCCTACCGGCTGACCGCGGCGGGGCGTGGCGTGGCGTGGCGTGGCGGGGCGGGGCGGGGCGGGGCGG